CCTTACAAAAACACATCCATAGTTTTATTATGGTTTAGTAATTGTTTAGCAGAGGATGACATGATTGCACAGATTTACAAAAGGTATTGGTCAATGTGAAAATGAACGTTGGATTTAGTCAGAATTAGCCACTGATAGCTTGTTAAATTTTTACCTTTATTAAAGAAGGAAAAGACATTTCATTTTCAGACATTTTCCTTTTTTTTACATTTTTATTCAACCCGTTCTCACTCCCGACGCGTAAAATAATGACGATTTGTCACGTCCCTTAACTTCTCATGCTGACGCCTAAGGTACCCTTCCACGTTTTTATGTGACGCTGTGGGTTGTCAATTCATTCCAATATGAACCCGCTCGCGGCGATCAGAGACGCTTCGAGCAGAGGCTCCAGCCATCCATTCACTCCAATAATAACCCCGTCACGGCGAAACATGACGCCGTGAAGCACAATAGTCATGTGACACAGTGGTGACCTGTCCACGTCTGCTTCTGGATGGAGGGTAATAATATTTTAAAAACAAACAGACAAATAATGCAGAGCTGCACCTCACAGTGTGTACTGAAGATGTTTTCGCACCCAGCTGTGTTTTCTTCCTCTAGAAAGCCACATGTGGGACAAGCACAGGACAGCGAGTGATGGCTCAACATCATCAAAGGCCATGACTGGATCATCAACTCGCAGAGCTCTGGACACAAATATCCACTGCGACCTAACCAACTTGTTTTAATGATCAGACTTTTCTTTCTTCAATAATTAGTAATTAATAATAGTAGGAATGTGTACATACACGAATTCAAAGTACTTCTAAATGGAGAGCACTGCGCCCTACTGAAAAAAAAATAGAAGGTAGTATCACAATACAGCTCCAATAAAAGCTTTAAAGCAAATCATAAAGCCAAGAAAATCTAATCAAGCCCAAACAATCTTTAATCTTTACTCAGATTAAAATACAAGAGAAAGTGAAGTCAAGGTCAAATGTATTTATATACTATGTTCAAAACAACAGAGCTGATCACTGTGCTTTACATTCAAAATAAATAACTTTTAAAAAACTATGTAAAATTCAGAAAAAGTGAGAACAGCAAACAACATAAAAAAAAAAAATAACATTCACAGCTTCAGATTAAAATACGAGATACACTAAAACTACAATAAAAGTATCTGACATTAAATGAATCATGATGCAGCCAGAGCTTTTTCATGTTTTTATACCAAATAATTATTTTTTTACACAATATAGATCTTTACACTCAGACAGTAAAAGTATTTGTGGGTGTTTATACCAGCACTTCCTAATGTAACTCTGCTGACTTTAAGTTGCTGCTATCAGTTACTAAAAATCACAGACTTTTTTCTCTGTGGAACAGGATACATTCAAAGTTTTATACAAAAGCTCAACAATGAATAAAAATATCAGCTAAATATAAAGAGCATGACTCTGAAACAGGACACATCTCTGTGTGCTTTATGCTAAAACACAGTACCAACTATATATCATATTATTATTCAATATCATCTTCATAAACACTAAAAAGTGAGCGCGTCTGATATTTGGGCAGCAGAGGAGCAACAGTGGATTCATTAAATGCTTCTTTTTGCTGCTGCAGCTCTCCTCACTGACCTGTAAGACAAACACACAAAGAACACAAATGTCCAAGTTTCAGGATGTTCACCATTTAATAACTTGAAGAATAACTCATCCTGCACAGAAGCATAATTACCAGGAAAGCTTCCTAACGCGACTTCAGAATAAACTGCTGCATCAGCTGCAGGACTTGATTTTCCTGTGAGTGGAAAGAAGATTTTAAGACCAGATAAACATGTTGAACAACATTCACTGGAGGTGATGGCAGACTTTGTTTACCTGCTTTCTTCTTGGCTTCTCCTTTTTTGGGGCCTTTGACCTCAGCATACATCAGACTGTCCTCTAAAAGAGAAGTCAGAGCTCAGGATACATTTGATCAGCAGGTTTATGACACAGAGCTGTTGGACACATGTGGATTTAAACTCTGCAGATTAAGTCTGATTTGAAAGTCCAAATGAGGAAGGAGTAACATGGTACAAAGTCTTCCAACTCTTTTGAGAGACAAAAAAAATGATAATTTCACTTCATAAGTCCACAGTGATTGGGCAACTGAAACTTTTGACTGTGAACTCCACAGTGCTTTCTTACGATGTTACTCATCTGCAGCAAACTACATAAAGAACCTCGAACCTTCCCAAACAGCTCCATTTATACTCATCTGCCCGTCTGCATCTCTCCCTTCTTTCATCCCTTACTCATATTTTATATGCCCTACATCTATTCCACATACACACGTTTTCCATGCTATTGGCACATCTGATACTTTCCTGTATCAAAAAAACAGCGTAAAAAGCGCTCTGCTGTGCCTCCAGTGATAGAGCACACTCAGATTATGTGTTATTTGATGGTCTTTGGTTATGTGATTGGTGGTCTGGTTCAGAAGCTATGGATGCTGTGATTCAGTAAATCCAGATGAAAAGTGGACTTTTTGCCTCCGTGATTAAGGACTTATGTGAAAGGCAACCCAACAAATTAGTGATGTGTTGGTCGCGAACGAAACGGCTCTTAGAGCCGGGTCTTTGACGTGAACGACGCAAGCCGTGGGTTTTTTTTTTCCTTCTTTCTCTCACCCTCTCTCTCGCACTTTTTTTCCGCTTCACTCCGTATGCGAGCCTTGTGCTTTGGGCTGGGAAGAGGGGGAAGGGGCGGTAGTTACACGCAAAGTAGCACAGGAACAGAGCGGGAGGGAAAGACAGAGACTGTGTCCCAATTAAGAGACCGCACGCTTGAAGTACGCATTTTGAGTGCGATTACGTCACCGCCACGCAACGACGGCTGTCCCAATTCGACGTGTACTTCAAATGCATACTTCAAATGCATACTCCAAATGCGCCGTCGATTTCCCCAAATATCAAGCGTGGTCTGGTGTACGCTTCGTGTTCCCATATATCCCACAATTCATAGCTTCTCGTACTTATAGTACGCACCGTACGTAGTATGAGTAGTGTGCGTACTTCAAGCGTGCAGACCCTGAATTGGGACACAGCCGTTGTTGTCCCTGGCTCTCTTTCTCTGGCTGTGTCCCAATTCAGGGTCTGCACGCTTGAAGTACGTGCACTACGCGTACGGTGCGTACTATAAGTACGAGAAGTGCGGACAGTTGTCTTCGGCCGCTCCCTTCTGCCGTCTGCCGTATTTTGGAGAAGGGTCTGGCTGCAGCCACTGGGGAGCGCCATTCTTGTGGGGTATTTTGCGACAAAATTATCCACACCCACCGCCGCGCTATGAATTGTGGGATATATGGGACCAC